TTAAGTAGCTAAACGTTTGAAGCATGTTTATCAAAAGCCTGTGAGGATATAGCAGTAATCTACGATGTCAACCTTCATCTATGAAAAGGTACCCCATTATAGAATTGAGTTAACATGCGTTATATGAATTGAAATAATATTTTTGTAGTGGCTGATACACTACAAGCCAAAGCATATTTCATATGTTTAGAACACTTGTGATCATATGTTTTAATCTACTTTAAAACATCTTATAATTTTTAGTAATGTTTTAGCAGTGTTATAAACAAATAAAAAATGCATATTTGAAATTATAGTTGCCGGAATTCTTATATTTCTTTTCAAATTAACTTCATGAGGTGGCCAAAAATGTGAGAAATTATGAAGGTTTGACTCTTTTCTATCACCTGGGAACCCAATAAATAATGCCTGGTTCTAATTTTTTATTTATTCTAAAATTGGAAAGTATTACATATTCTAATGGACATTGTATATCAAGAACTACACATTTTATAATGAAAAACAGTGAAAACATGTAATGTTTTATCGTTAAGAACATCATATTTTTAAAATTTAGGCACTAATTTTAAAGATGGNTTCATAGAGCTATATTAAGTTCACTGTCATGGTTGCCATGAGTGTATACAGGCCGACGCTCTGTGTGATCGAGACTGAGCAGTAACAGCACGAGGACAACGTCGTAGTCACAAGTAGCGAGTCAAGTGATCAATGTGGACTGTCTATCGAAGTAGGCATGTTCACATCGTAGTGGACGTTTCTGCCAACGTAGGCGTGTTTCGAACACGTCCAATGAACCGAAAGTCGCCAATGAGGGGAGTAGATCCCCACATCACGTCCGGATCACCAATGTGCCGCGTGGAGTTGTAATCGACAATATCAACCTTCATCTATGAAAAGGTACCCCATTACAGAATCGAGTTAACATGTCTTATATACTAGTGAATTGAAATAATATTTTTGTAGTGGTAGATGCACTACAAGCCAAAGCATATTTCATATGTTTAGAACACTTGTGATCATATATTTTAATCTACTTTAAAACATCTTATAATTTTTAGTAATGTTTTAGCTGTGTTTATAAACAAATAAAAATGGCATATTTGAAAGTAAAGTTGCCGGAATTCTTATATTTCTTTTCAAATTAACTTCATGAGGTGGCCAAAAATGTGAGAAATTATGAAGGTTTGACTCTTTTTTTTCATTTCGTTATTCTATCACCCGGGAACCCAATAAATAATGTCTGGTTTTAATTTTTTCATTATTCTAAAATTGGAAAGTATTATACATTCTAATGGACATTGTATATCAAGAACTACACATTTTATAATGGAAAAACAGTGAAAACATGTAATGTTTTATCGTTAAGAACATCATATTTTTAAAATTTAGGCATCAATTTTAAAGATGGAAAACTTTGATTTTTATGCAATAATTTCTTTCTTGGATCAAATTTATTGGTAAATAATGAGTACATCTTATTTCAATTATAGTGAATAAACTGAAATAAAATATTTACCGTTCTACTTAAAATGGTGTGAGAATTGGTGGGTATCAGCTTAAATTTTAAAAGCAAGTAATGTCTTAGATCCCAAGTCAAAATTCTTGTTGGTCCCATGATTTATGTTGGTTTCAGTGTGATTCATGATGGTCCAACATCATTTGATGGTCACGTGGATTAAGGATCCTACATCTTACCACTATTATTTAAGAGCATCGTATTGCCTTTAACTATTGAACAGATCAAGTTTACAGATATTTAAGCTGTTTTTCACCAAAACTACCCAAAAGTGGAGGAAAATAATTCTGAACCGAATTTTACCCATTGAAGAATTTCCTATCTCCTAGGTAAAGATTTAAAAAAAAAAAGGACTGCAACAATTAAGAACTATACTGATGACTTTTAATACATTTAATTAAACTGACTTTTTCACAATAAATACTTTAAATGAAACGAGAACAAATCAGAAAGAAATTATTTTATTTCAGTTATTTAAATGAGATTTAATATCCTTATAATGAGATTTAATTTCCCTAATTCAAGGATACTCCTCAGGGATGCTTCCCAGACTGTCGCCAATTGCCCATTATGCAGGTGACATAAATGAAAGTACCATCACCATATTAGGAAGAATATAAAAAAATTTTACAAAAAAAAAAAAAAATTTTCGTGATGAGCAGTCTGGTTAATTAAGGTGATTTTGTAATTATTAGTTAGTTTTGCGATTTCTCTTTGAATATATCATATCTTAATTTTACACTTATTAAAATGCTTAAAACATATTCAACGAAAACTTAGTTAGCAAGATTACGCGGGTAAATATATCCAACCAATTTGGATTTTTTTTATGTTGGACCATGAGCCCGAATTCCTACATTAGGAGGATGGTTGTTCATGATCGTTCCAGCATTGGATTTCTTAGACACTGTGATGAAATTCGTGATGGTTCAAGATTAAGAAACCATCAAAACATGTTGCTACTCATAATCACCATCATAAATCAGTCAGATCCATTCCATGATGGAAAATGGTACTATAACGGTTAACCATCAAGAGAAGTTTGACTCTCATGGACCCACTACGATCCGGGATGGTCCATGATGGTAAAAACTATGCATTTCCATGATGGTTTAATGGGAATTCTTATTGATTCACAGCAATATATCATCAAAACAATTGTTTTTTTTAAACGGTAGACCATCATAACTCAGTCCAAATTCCTACATTAGGATGGTTGTTGTTCATGATCATCTTAACATTGGAAGACACTATGAACCGAAAAATCTCTCGATCATTTTATAAAGAGTTCTTTGTCAGGAACTAGTTATTATATGATCATCTGAAGTGTTTGAAAATTATTTTGCATTTGTTAATGTATATAGTGCTTAAAAATATTTTTTAAGTGCTTAAAAAGTACTTAAGAGGAGCTTATTATTTTTTGTTGAAAGATTTGGCTACGCATCCTGTGATAGGAACTTTAAGTAAAAAAATTAGTTTTATTGCTGTTAGTAATATGAATAGAAAATATATGAGAAGTTTTTTAAAATTGCTTTCATACTTAAGAAATTCCCAAGGGATTATATGTCTCGTAATAGACAAATAACTTTTTAACAGTACATTTATTTATGATGCAATATTTTGAAAACATTGCAGAAGTGAGTAGATGGCTGAATAAATGCTAATAAAAGTAATAACTCAATGAAAAAGAACTAATAAAGCAAATTATTTGTGATTTAAAATATTGACGTGAGTTGTTGAAAAAAAATGGTGTTGTCCATGAATGTTAGAGTAAAAAGAGGACTTGCTTTCAGCGACTTGATCCGCATGCATTCATGACAGTTAGGACAATAAATGCCGAGATGTAAAATTAAATATCTCATTGTCAGGGTTGAAAAATTTTGTCGCCTGAACCAGTAAAAGAAAATTTTTAATCTAGATTATTAATGTAGATGAAAAATGTAGATTTAGAAATAATGAACTCATGATACAAGTCATGAAATTTAAAAATTAGCGATCATAAATGTTAATAGTGACAACAAAATTATTTACTAAAATTTCTAGTGAGAGACAAAATTAGAAACAAAAATTAGAATTACCAGAAAATATAACAAAATAAAATTTTTTGGCTGAGATATGCTAAATACATGCTAAACAAAGTTCCATATTACGTTAGTTATAATTTTTACTTCTATATAGTTCTATGATGGTATAAAAGTTGAGTTATTTATTTGTGTATGGGCTTAAAAAACAGTAAGATTAAAACAGTGTGGAAAAGTAAATCCGTAACTTAAAACGGCTTTTTACCATATGCGTACAAGTTTTTTCCGTAAAAGTTACAAAGTAAATCCATAGTCACAACGGTATTTACCCAAACAAAACATGTTTTCGACGTAAAAATTATGATAGAAGTCCGTACCTTCAACAGCTTTTGACCATAACAGAACAAGTTTTTCACATAAAATTTACAAAGAAAATCCGCAGTCACAAAGCTGTTTTACCAATCAGGGATAAGTTTTTCCGCAAAAGCAAACAAGAAAATCCATAGCCAATATGAAAACAAGTTTTTTTTAAAATGAACACAAGTTTTATCTGCATGTTTTGAGCTATTTATATGAATGCATTTAATCAGTGAATCAAATCACTTGAACCATTCTTTTTAACAATATCAAAACAAGTTTATTATGTATGTCTTATAGTTTTAAACTATTTGCATAAAAATATTTAATCAGTGAATTTTCCATAGTATAAATTTAATAAAGTTTTTATTTTTAAACTATGTGGAATTATGGATGTTACAATCTGTTTTTTTTTTCTTTTTTTTAAAAAAACAACAAAACACCATATGTTTGCAAAGATCAAGTTGTCATGTTTAAATTGTTTACAAAATTATATGAAATAACTGAAGTTACTAGGTATTGTTTTAAAAAAAGAAAAGATACATGTATAATACACATAATGCAAAGTAAACTGAATGATGAAACACAATTGATAAAATAAATCGTACAAGTTTTTAAGAAAACCATAAATTTACACAAATGTCAATGAAATCATTTAAAATTTATACACACTTATATTTTTACCTAAATGATTTATTTACCACTATTTTGATTCACACATTAAAAACAAATAATGGCATATATAATTAGACACAAAGCAAATTTAACTAAGTGATAATACATAATTTATAAAATAAATCATTTAAGAGTTTTTAAGAAAACCAAAAATATCAATAAAATCGCTTAAAAGTTACACATTTATATTTTTACTTAAATGGTTTGTTTACCGCTATTTCGATTCACACATTAAAGTCTAATGAACCATTAATTCATCTTATCTCAGAACAATAATTTTATTTAATTCAGAATAAAGCAATTTAAACATTATTTCAAACAAATTAGTGCCCTACTTTTTAAGTAAATGGAACTATTTTGCAGTTTTTTGATCAGTGGAGTTGTGTAATGCTAGAAGATGATATCGCGCAGCTCACTCTCTTAAATTTTAATCAATAACAGTTGAATATTTTTTTAACATTTGATAATAAATTTTGACTTTCACCTCTTCCTTTGAAGATCAGAGTGGTCTGTTCAAAATCTTTTAACAGAAACTTATTAATTATTAGGTACTTTTCAATTTAAAAAAAAAGCGGTTTATCTCACATTGATTAAAAGTAGTATATAGGGGGGGCTACAGGACACTTTTGCCCTTCCCTATATACTACTATTAATTTCCTATTTTTTATTTTAAAAAAATTTAAAATAGACCTATATTTTACATTTTTATANATTGAGGAAAATATACCCGTGTATTTCTACGAATAACACTATCCTTTATAAAAACAGAAAAATGAATATATTTTATTTTTTACCTTTGAATAAACTCCAGGGTTCTACAAGCCATCTCAGCGTACTCAATGCTTAAAATGTAGTATGCAGCAAACATTTTTGCCACTTTGAATTTCTTCATTTGACCTTATTGTCGACTGCAACCATGTAGGAGTTCGCAAAAAAATCATCACCTGAAAGTTGAGCAGAAATTAATAATGCAATTATATTATCAAAAATGATTACTTTAAAGCTAAAAATGAAATATATATTTTAGAAAATAATTGTAATAAGCTCGTATAATAATACATAGTTCACTTATTTATTGCTGAGTGATGGTGAAAAGATTGCATTTATATTAAGCATTCTGCTTTTAATTTGAACCAATTGCTTAACCTAAATATAAAATTTTTTAATTAATGCCGTCACTTCTGTAACCGCACAAGTTCAACTTTTACTATCCATTAAAAGCTTTTTTATAGTGGTGTTGCCATCCGACATACTTTTAAATGATTGAGTTTTTAATAAATGCCACATGAAGGCTTGGCCGAGTCGGGCGCCTTTGCGCTCCACTCTCTGGGGGGCGGGGGGGATATGTCGCGGCGGCGAGTTCGATTTTTTTTGGGGTTGGGTGTAAACTAAAACTTATAGTTACACTTAGTTTAATTACAAATGTCATCAAGTTTTATTTTAAACTGTTACAACTACAAGGCGCATCCAGAAAGTAAGTTTCCCAAATTTAAAAAAAAAAAAAAAGAACTCACACTTTCAGGAACATATTTTTTGGCAACAAGTACAGCAATTTTTCAACATAGACGGCACTACAATTGAGACACTTGTCGTATCGTTCCTGTAGCCCCCCCTATATACTACTATTAAAGCCTCATTTGTTTCTATTTCTATGTAAAAATGATCAATAAACTTAAACTTTCTTTTTTTTTACTTCTTCCGTAAAACATAAAAGGAAGAATAGAATTAAAAGAAAAAAATGATTTCATTTCATTATTGCTTTATTTTGCTCTTACCATTTTACACTACTTAAGAAAGGTAACAATAAAAATCACTAATTTGCATGTATTTTTAAAGTAGGTACAGGAATTTATAAAATTTGTCAAATGATAAAAGTACACCCCTTTTTTTTTTACTGATTTCATTACATAAATTATTCCTTTTTCCCCCGGTTTGTTGTAATTTTATGCAGCTTTATACTAACAATCAATTTACAAATGCTACCAATCATTTTAGCAAAACTATAAACGCTTATAACTTTTAAACCCTTTTACTGATTCCAGTATAACTGATACTTTTGAAATTAGTATTAAAAATAGAATTACGAGGAAATAAGAAAAGAATAAAGAAGATTAAAATAAAAATACAAATAAATACAGTATAAAATCACGATTAACACCATTTAAAGTCCATTAGCTTTTTTAACAACTATAAAACTTATGGATATACGGTTCTTTTTTTTCGTTTTTACGTTCTTTACTATCCATTAAAGCCTTCGATCCTTTATCGGGGTTCACCTTTAGGAAACACCTGCACATTAAATGAATATTCATTTTGTTAATTAAGTTCAGATTAAAAATTATTAATAAAAAAGTCAAGAACTTTTATTATTTGCTTGGTAGTATGCTTTTTGGAATTTTTTTATCCCTACAAAATTTAGCAATTTCAGTCTTTAGACAAACTAAAATAATTTTTATTTTAATTTCCTTCAGTATATAATGTTTCATCCACTACTACTATGCTTTCAATAAATAAAAAAGTTACTCAAAGTAAATATAATAATTTAAAAAGATTTACATTGAGGAAAATATACCTGTGTATTTCTACGAATAACACTATCCTTTATAAAAACAGAAAAATGAATATATTTTATTTTTTACCTTTGAATAAACTCCAGGGTTCCACAAGCCATCTCAGCATACTCAATGCTTAAAATGTAGTATGCAGCAAACATTTTTGCCACTTTGAATTTCCTCAATTATGACATTATTGTCGACTGCAACCATGTAGGAGTTCGCAAAAAAATCATCGCCTGAAAGTTGAGCAGAAATTAATAATGCAATTATATTATCAAAAATGACTATTTTAAAGCTAAAAATGAAATATATATTTTAGAAAATAATTGTAATAAACTCGTATAATAATACATAGTTCAATTATTTATTGCTGAGTGACGGCGAAAAAATTGCATTTATATTAAGCATTCTGCTTTTAATTTGAACCAATTGCTTAACCTATATATAAAATTTTTTAATTAATGCCGTAACTAACTTACCGTTTTTAATTAATTCCGTAAAACTGTTACAACTACAAGGTGCATCCAGAAAGTAAGTTTCCTGAATTTTTTAAAAAAAAATAGCTCAGACTTTCAAGAACATATTCATTGGCAACAAGTACAGCAATGTTTCAGCTATTTTTCAACATAGACGCCAATACAATTGAGACACTTGTCGTATCGTGGGATCAACTTTTGTATCCCTCTGTCGCAGCATTCTGCCACCTGTGAATGGAACCAGCGTGTGACAGACGTCTACCGTTACTGTGAAACACTCCGGAAATTGTGACGTGCCGTTCAAAACAAGAGTCGTGGAATGCCTACTGCAGGTGTTGCACTCCTCCATGACAATGCTTGCCCACATACGACACGAGACTCAGCAGCTGTTTTGACGGAATTTGGCTGGGAGTTGTTTGATCATCCATCCTACAGCTCTGATATTGCTTCCAGCGATTTTCACGTTTTCTTACACCTCAAGAAATTCCTGTCCTTCTGTGAGCATTTCGGCAACGACGAAAAGCTGAAGACGCCTGTCACACGCTGGTTCCATTCACAGGCGGCAGAGTTCTGCGACAGAGAGATACAAAAGTTGATCCCACGATACGGCAGACGTCTCGATTCTTGTGATGGATATGTTGAAAAATAGCTGAAACATTGCTTTACTTTTTGCCAATAAATATGTTCCTGAAAATGTGAGTTCTTTTTTTTATAAATTAGGGAAACTTACTTTCTGGATGTGCCTTGTATATTATTTGCAATAAAATTATGTTGGCATTGTGTTTCTGTGAAAACTAATGAGCCTCTAACATAGATGCAAGATATATCCTTTTATATTAGTAAGAAATACCTTCACTATAAGTAGAGGTAAGCAGAATAAGCCTGACAATTACAATAATCCTGATGCTTTGATTTTAGCTGCCTTTTCTGCATTATTTAGAAGTTATATGTAATTAAGACTTTACTTGCATACTCTTTCTGATAATACTCTCAAGCTATATGTCAATGTGGTGTCGACCATTGAAACTTTATTGGTGCTATTATATGGTACCCTAATATATCTTAATAGTTTAAGCTAGTCTTATTAATCATTGATTTAAAAAAATAAGCAGTTCAATAAGAATAATTAAGAACCTCCAATCATGAAATTTAACCAACATATTTTCTTGACAAACTACATAAATTTTGCTTTCGTTAAGAAACAGCTAGGTTGTTATGAATTTTATGAAGCTCTTTCATTTTAAAACTAAGGAAAATGCAGATCAGATAACTTTAACTGATTTATATAATTATTTCATCACAGTTAAACACACTTATCAACAAGCATGTTATAATATTTGAGATATAATTAAAAATTCAGTTTCATTTAGAATAAGATAGTTCAAATTTTAAATGATTAACTTAATTTTTCGAAACTTATTTCAGTATATATATTTTTTAAATTAAACGTACTACACGTTAAAATTTTATTATACTTACTAGAAGAAATTGGACATGGAGTACTAGGCATTATGCCTAGATTTTTGACCTTTATGGCAGGTAAGGAGCTCTTAAAATAACAAATGGCTATATTTTAATTGAAGAATTTTGATAACAGTATGGATTTGATGAAATTTTAAATTTTCAGAAAATGTAGAATTCTTAGAACCCAGACTTAAAAGTATAATAATTAAAAGATTAATTTAACAAAAAATGTCATTATCTTGCAAGGAAGTTAAATTTAATTAAACATAGAATTTCATAATTTTGGTTATGTTTCATAAATTTTATTTATTCTCTAGTTTATAAATTCTATATTTAACCTACAATCAGTGTTAAAAAAATCAAATTTATAAGATATTAAAAAGCTGAAAGTGTAATTTCTGGAAGTCACATGTAGATGCAGTCTGAAACCATTTTTTAAAATAGGTAAGTGTTTTAAAACGACCAAAAGTATCTTTATGGGAAAGTGATAAATCAGTTATAAATAGTACTACTTAGAACCTTCATACTACCTCTAATCACTTACTGCTGTGAACAATTTATGACGGCAACAATTTGACAAACCATAAATCTATTACAGCTACTGTTGAAGAAAAATCATTGCTTTTATATGAGAAGCTGATTAGAATGGGTGATCCTTATTGGATGAATTACACAAATTGCATCAGAAATTTGAAAATTCAGCTTTTTTTCAATTTGTTCAAATTATCCGTAAAGAATATGAGTTATCTGATGATATTCAGGAAATAACAAAGCCAGTAAATCCTCTGAAGATTGTAGAGATTGAATCAAGTTTATATCTTAGAGACAAGAAAAAATACTTCTCCAGCTGTGCTGAGATGTTATGCCCTTGAAACAATTTACATGACACATCCGGATTCTCAGATTTACACAAAAATAATTAAAAAATTACATTTACACAATATGAATTACAAAATTACATACACACAATATGAATTACAAAATTACATACACACAAAATAAACTACAAAATTACATTCAAACAAAAGAGTTACAAAAATACACTCAAACAAAATAAATTACAAAATTACATTCATACAAAATTAGTTATAAAGTTACATGCACACAAAATGTATTACAATTAAAAATAAATTATTGATAGTAACACAAAATTACAAAGTTACATTCAAAAAATTAGTTACAAAATTACGTTCACACAATATGTGTTACAAAGTTGCATCAGCAAAAAATGAGTAAAAGTTACATTCACACAAAATGAATTACAAAATTACATACACACAAAATGAGTTATAAAACTATATTCACACAAAATGAGTAACTAAATTACATTGACGCAAAATAAGTTACAGAATTATATTCACGAAAAATGAATCACAAAATTACATTCAAATGAATTACAAAATTACGTTCTAACAAAAGGAATTACAAAATTACATTCTCACAAAATTAATTACAAAATTACAGTCACACAAAAGTTGCTGTGTACAGCACATTTATTGAATTTCGAGTGACTATGAATATAAAACATCCCTTACATCCCAAATCAAGAAATTCTCTTTAATTCACAACTCAAGAAGTATTTATGGGATTTCTCTGGTCCCATATCTCAAAACTAAACTCATCCACTTAATGCAAAGTTAAAAGTGAAAAAAAAAATAAAAGAATTCTAAAGTAAATTATCAAACAGCAGTCGTCTCCATGGCACCGCATGCAATGACGACGCATGCGCAGTGTTTACTATTGCTCTTGAACACAGTTGAAAAGTGTGATGACGTGCAAATAAGGTCCTCAATCCCAAAACACCCATTTTGCTAATGGGTAATAAAACATTTTAAAATTTAGTGGCAAATAGTAAATAGCATAGGATGGCTGAAATGTAAAAAAAAAAACAACAAAGGAACAGAAAGAAAGCACAAAAAAAAGCTCAGTAAAAACTCATTTAAAGAATCAGTTAATAAAAGTTACTAAGTAAAAATGCAGCCTCGTTAAAAGTAAAAAGCAGTAGTAGGAGCAGGAATTTACAATAACATTTAAAAATAAAAAGGGGATACCTGCAAGTGACGTTGTGTGCTTGGTTGTTGAATCGTGCCATTTGTTTACGTTAGCAACTGTCTCATTTTATTTCGAGTAAGCAAAGTCATATTCTAAATGACTATAGTCATATGACTATAGTCATATGACATATTCTAAATGTTATCACAAAGATTCTGGCCCAAATATTCCAATTCTTTCACTATATATTTACACAGAGACAAAACACGACATCTGCGACATAAACAAATTAATTATACATCATAGTTGCCAGGTACATAAAACAAAAATATATTACGGTTGCAATAAAATACATAAACAAGTAATAAATCTAAGTTAAGTAAAAGAAGTAGACGAGAAAGAATGATTTTTCAATGAATTCGATGTGCGATACTGCTCTATATTTAATTAACATTCTAACTCATGTAGAGAAACTTAGCTTGACTTTCATATGCCATTTTGATGATAAAGATTAGCTGGCGATGACGTCATGTGCGACTTCTTGAAGTACAAATACCCACTTAAAGATTAAAAGAAAAAGGTAAAACGAACGAATTTATGAATGTGATCATATTTAGGTCCACATAAGAATAAGATTGAGTTCTGCTCATTTTTCAATGTCAGCTTCAAAACTATGTCGAACTCAAAAACTAATGGGAAATCGAGAACACAGCTTGAGTTCCTAAGTATTTAAGAAATATCCATGAGGACATTGAAAAAATATAAAAACGTTGACCATAAATCAAAAATAAATATGACACAGATGCATACACACAGAAACAGGTACGTATAAATTAGAAACACAACACCGATATGTATGCGACACCGTAAACTAATTCACCGTAATACATATGACAGCAATACACATGAATTGTCAATACTTTTCTGCTATAGGATTTATGAATCCAAAATCACCATCTCGTAGAAATAACGCTTGTTTCTGTTTTTCACTGATTACTCGAAATATACACAGGTGCATCAAATACAATAATATCGCGATCATTAATGATAATGATACACATTGAATACAGAAGTGTTTCGATCATAATTTATAAAAATCATGTATCCAAATCCTAGTGTTCAATCGTAGTCTAGATTAAGCTTTCTGTTACTTTAATAGGGGGATACGTTAAACCTTATTGGTGTTGTTATAGTTTATTTATGGGCTATTGGCGACGGTCTGGGAAACATCTCTGAGAATGATCAGCAAGACATGCCTTCACAATTTTGATTCTCTGCAGAGGGGATGGTACCTTCGCTTCGTTAACCCGACGGCCTAAGCCCGAAGTCGAGCAATTTACAGTAGAACAGTTTAACGAGGAATGATATCGCTCATCCTCGGTCTCTAAGCAGGCTGATGAGTGTTCTACTCGGAACTGTGTCTGTCCAACCAGTCCACTGCGGGACACCTTATGGTCGGTAAGTATCAACTTTGCATGCATGATGTTCCAATTCTCGAGAAGATAATTTTCATCATTGGAAAAGGTATTATGTGGTATTATTGGAAAGGTATTATGTCATTGGAAAGGTAATATGTTTAAATAAAAGATCTTACCTTTTTTTCTTGGATGAGTGTTTTCTTTCCAATATCAGGGATTGTGCTATTTTCTTAGAGAATTTTTATAAATCACAAGCACCTAAATCTCTCATAAGAAACTTTATTCGATTTTATAAATTAAAAAAGATATTTTTATTAATAACATTGAAATGCGAAGCACATAGACGAACAAAATTATAAGAAAACAAACAGAGCAAACCTCTCACATCGTTGTAAAGCTAGCTGAAATCGCTCACGAGTAAAAGTGTTCTTTTAAGTTACTATTTATTCTCGGTTTTCCGACACATGATATTAAGGTTGGACTAGAACTTTGAGAGCCTCTGAATCTTCAAATCGGCTTCAAATGATTTTCTAATTTAATAGTGGACGCCACTTCAGATCGATCCACTTTACAACCCCCGAGATTGCTTGTCTCTAATGACTTTATTACCATTAAAAGTCGATATTTTTCATAAAAAACAACAATCATTTTGCTTTATAAAATATGCAAGTTTTATACTTCTAGAGAGGAACATTTAGTTAATATGTTAATAGTAGCAAAATGAAAGATTAACATAGGATGCTTGAAGGATAGGATTTATATGTTTGAGGATAAATCAGCAATACTTGAAATATTTAAACTTATAAATACAAGACATTTAATTCAATAAGAAGAAATAATATATGAGATAAGACTTGTTAATGATAAAAAACAATAGATCAATGTAACGGATACTTTTTTTATTTCATTACTAGGCAGACTTATTAATTCACTGTCGCCTCTAATCGAAAACAAAAATCTATTTATAACTTTTTAGTCCAAATTTCCAACGGCTAAATGTTTCGGTTGCATGGTTGTAATAATTCTCATAAATTTGTTGGCGACTCGTGATCGCCAAGGTATTCTTTTAAACCCATATTGATATGCTGGTTGGCTTTGGTTTGGCTATGATATATTATGATAAATCGCCAAATTATGGATCTCCTATCCATACTTTCTATGTCCGTTGAGAATAATTATATTCACTTGGAATTCAAAATTTGTGGTGACTAGGAGTCCCCTTTGGGGCGCTCATGTCTCAGTCATCCTAACGGTTTAAAAAGATATGCAATCGTAGTGAAATGCTAACAAACAAAAACTTCTTGATGTGGAAGTTATATTTACTTGATCCCTTCAAGGGATTTATTTTTGATAATTGGTAATTATTATGATGATTTGTATTGATGGCCATTCTCTATAATCTTCAATAAATATTGTTTAATAAACTGGATCTTCATATTCACGATTCATATTAATTTCCTGGAGACTTTCATTTTGTTTCATCCATTTACTTTTTTTAACGGCCAATACGAACAATAATGAATTAAGATGAATTTCACTATACGAATATTGGCGGCTAATGGCGGAGGACCAAACCTCCCCCACAACATTGAACGTTGCGCTTGATCGAAACTGAGTAGCAACAGCACGACGAGGTGGTTAATGTCGCAGTCACAAATAGCAAGTAAACTGTTCAGTGTGAGCCATCCATCGAAGTAGGCATGTTCAAATCGTAGTGGGCGTTTCTGCCAAGGTAGGCGTGTTCACATCGCATCGGAAGGTCACAAATGCGAGGAGAGTTGTTACCGACCATGTCAACCGTCATCTATGAAAAGGTCCCCCAACATAGAATCAAGTTAACATGTCTTATATACTAGCGAATTGGAATTATATTTTTGTAGTGGTAAATACATTACAAGGACATTGAAAAGATATAAAAACGTTGATCATAAATTAAAAATAAATATGACACAGATGCAAGCACACAAAAACAGGTAGAAATTACAGGTAGAAAACACAAATTAGAAACACAACACCGATATTTATGTAACACTGTAAAATAATTCATCGCAATACATATGACACCGTGAGTTACATATATGGGGCAAAGGACGCCTAAAAATTTACCGGTAATTCAAAGAACCTTTTAATGACGAACAGAATTAGAAAAAATGAAGGTTTTACAGTGCAATTCAGCGCAAAAGAAAATAAACCACATAAAATTTGAAGCAAAATTCGTCAATCTATGTGTAGGAATTTATTTTTTCTAAGCCACCATCATTTCTATGCAACGGGGCCATCATTTCTACGCAACAACGACGCAGCTAAGTCCGCGAGATCAAAATTAACACTACGAAACAAACATCACATGCAGCAAAAATATGGGGTAGTTTGAGAAAAAAAATTAACACAACGCTTGTACAAATATTTTTAGAATTTTCTGATATACAACAGAAAACATTGTTCTTAAGTTTTTTTTTTGCTAGCTTAGCTGTTTATTGATGAACTCTCTAACAAATTTCAAAATTTAATATAAAAATATTTTTTTGTTTCCCTAAGCAGAACATAGCAGCCTTAAATTCATATCTCTTTTTATGTTCCTATAACTGGTCTTTCAAATCAGTTAGGAGAGCCATCTGTTGACGAACTTTGTAAAGAAATTTTAAATTTGATGAAAAATACTAATTCGAAATAATTCTCTATTCGCACAACTGAATTAGCATTAAATTTTACTCAAAATTGTTTCAGTATTTATACATCTTCGAGTCGCAAACGAGAAATATCCTACGGGATTCAATCTTAGAGACATTTTTAAGTAAAAATATTACAGTTTATTTAATTGATCTAAAGTTCGGAAGCTGTTACCATGCATAGCAAATTGGCAAATTTTTTATGTTGATCCGTATGAATACGTAATCAAGTGCTCTTCGCATGGATAACAGGACAGATTAAAAGTTGTAATATTGTTAAGTTCAAAACTGTGTTTCTATCAATTTTTTATTTGTTTTTACTTCAGATATTAAAAAAATAATATTAAGCTAGTCCCTTTAAATATAATATTTTAAAACTTATAAATTCTTTGCATTACGATTGATTCATGTGTTGGACAGTAGAATTTGGTACTGATTTGAATCAACAGTTGTTTCTATCGAAATAAATTAAAATTATAATGGATAATTGTTTTTTAAATTTCAGTTTGTTTTGTTTCACTATGATATGCCATAAGTTAAACATTTCTTGTAAAACCTAACGCATTCATTACTAAGGAAGTAAGATTATCCAATTGAAGAAAACATTTCTTTTGGAGTTACTTAAAATTTACCATAGTTTAAAGTATCTATAGCAATTAACAACGTATGCAATGTAATTATATGAAAGCTATAATAAGTTTAATTATTTACTTATTATAATTTTCGTATAGTTCATTAATGAGAAAGAATAATAAATTTTTTTCTATCACATTTGATAAAAGAAAAATAGTGGTAGTTAAGCAAACTTATTTTCGATTTTTTTGAAATTTAAAATTTATTTAATGCATTTGATTCGAGTCACATGATTTGCAATTAAGTCGTTTAAGTCATGATACTCCGATCAATGATCCAAATTACTAGATTTGAAATGAGATTTGAATCACTGATCCGAATCACATAATTTGAATAGTGATGTGAATCACTTCATAAGAATCTGATAATCAGATCATTTGATTTGAAACAATGATTTGAATAAATTAATTCGAATTATTGAAGAAAATGACGATTCGAATAATTTATCTGAATCATTTTTATTCGAAAAGCGATTCAAATCACATGAGTTGAATCAGTGATCTGAATCATGTGATTCAAATCACTTATTTGAGTCACTTGATTTGAATAGTGATCCAAATCACTTATAAGAATCAGTGATTTGAGTAACTAATTTCGAATCACTGATCTAAATAATGATTCGAATCACTGATCTTAATTGCATAATTCGAATCACTGATCTTAATTGCATAATTTGAATCATTGTTCCAAATCGCATAATTTGAATCATTGTTCCAAATCGCATAGTCTGAACCCTTGATCCGAATCGCATAATTTGAATCATTGATCCGTTGATCTGAATCTCTTGATTCGAATAGTTTATCTGAATAACATGATTCGAGTAACTGATTAGAATCAAGTGAATTAGAACGAAGATTCAAATTAACCCTTTACCTGCAGAGTAAAATTGACGTGATTCTCTCCCCAGTGCCACCGTTTTTCGCTCAGCTGCGCTTTGTTACGCGTTCTGGTAGGGGAAAAAGATGCACGCTTTGCAATTTAAAAACAGTTTACTTTCACAAGAAAAGAAAAAAAGAGAATTTATAAAACTATGATGTGCCAATCAAGAAGAAAAGTTTGTTAAATAAAGATGACCAGTGTAGATGGACATTTATTTGTTGCCTTGAGTGTGGGGATTCTTCGATCTGACCAAGAGACGAGTAAAACAATGGATACAGTATGTCTGAAAGAGAGAGATGGATGAAGAAATTTGTATCTCAAAGACATTACCTGCTTCATCTACTCAGAAGGGTATCCTTTAAGAACGAAAATCATACTAATGGAGTTTTAGTTAAAACATGTGTCTAATACACATCTAAACATTTCATAGCTTGTTCAATCGTAGCCTATATTAAATTTAATGTTGCTTTAATAGGGGAAATTTTATTGGTGTTGTTGTAGTTAATTTATGGGCTATTGGCGACGGATCTGGGAAACATCTCTGAGGATGATCAGCAAGACATGCCTTCACAGTTTTGATTCTCTGCAGAGGGAATGGCACCTCCCCTTCGGTAACCAGACGACCTGCACCCGAAGTCGAGAACTTTACGGTAGAACAGCTTAACGAGGACTGATATGGCGCATCCTCGGTCTCTAAGCAGAGTGATCAAGGTGGTCACCCTACCCGCAGCCAGTGATGCTTGACTTCGGTGTTCTACGCGGAACTCTGTAAAACCAGTCCACTGCGGGACACTTTATGGTCGGAAAGCATCAACTTTGAATGCATGATGTTCCAACTTCACGAAAAGGTAATTTTCACCATTAGAAAAGGTAAATAAAAGACCTTACCTTTATTTGGATGAGTGTCTTCTTTCCGATATCAGGGATTAGGCTGTGTTCTTATAGAGAATTTATATAAATTACAAGCACCTAAATCTTTCATAAGAAACTCTACTCGATTTTATAAATGAAAAAAGATATTTTAATTAATAACATTTAAATGTAAAGCACATAGACGAACAAAACTAAAAGAAAACAAACAGAGCAATTCAAAATAACGTCTTTGCTTTCACATTGTTGTAAAGCTAGCTGAAATCATTTACGAGTAATACTGTTCTAAGTTACTTTTTATTCTCGGTTTTCCGACACATGATATTAAGGGTCAACTTGAACGGTGAGAGTCTCTGAACCTTTAAAATTGGCTACATATGATTTTCTAATGTAATAGTGGACACCACTTCAGATCGATCCGCTCTACAACCCCCGAGATAGCTTGTCTCTAACGATTTTTTTTAACATTAAAAGTCGATTTTTTTTTCATAAAAAACTACTATCATTTTGTTCATAAAATGTGCAAGTTTTATATTTCTAGAGAGGAACATTTTGTTAATATGTTAATCATTGCATAATGAAAGATTAACATAGGATTTATATGTTTGAAGGATAGGGCTTATATGCCCTTATATGTTTGAGGATAAATCAGCAATATTTGAAAAAAAAAATTTAAACTTAGAAATACAAAACACGTTTGATTCAATAAAAAATAATAATTGATGAGAAGACATTTTACTTGTTAATGATGAAAAACGATAATCTTACATCACTCTAACAGCTCAAATTGGAAGCTGTTTTATTATCCAGGGTTTTATTTTTCTACAGGCAGCATTATTAGAATTTCGATGTATATGTTAGCATTTATAACTAGTAACATCTAATCTTATTTATTCATTTTTTTTCATATTTACATTTATTCATATTCACTTTAGACATGAAGTAAAGCACGAGTTTATAAAATGAAAATCGCACAAGAGATGAATTAAGTTTTCTACAACTATAGATAAGCAATCATTATTTGAAGCAAGAAAGGTGAAAAATCGCGATTAAAGTGATTAGAATTGCTACAACTTGCTACAAATGAATTGGACAAAACAAGAAGAATAAAATTCGGGATTATTAAAGACTGCTTTCCTTTCCACGTGATTTTTAAAAACTTATTTATCGTAATTCGTTTAAAAATTTCTTTATTGTTTTCGTTAATATTTATTATTTACAATGTGTTATGATTTTAAAAAACAAGAAGAATAAAATTCGGGATATTTAAATAGCTTTCTTTTACATGCTATTATTTTTAAATATTTCTTTAATGTAATTAAAATATCAATATTGTAGATTTATTTCGTAATATTTTAAATCCCTTTTGCTCTCAGCACTTTATAAACATAAAGTAAATTAAATATAGAATTCCTTTAGAAATTTTTTTAGTGTGCGTCGACGTTCAGGTATATATGAACTCGCTCAATAAACAGAAATAGCGGACTGTATAATTATGCACAATATTTATTTATTATTATTTGGAAGAGAGCTTTTTTGTAGCTCGTTACAACTCTCCTTCCACACACACACTCTCTCTCTCTAAGTGTTACAAGTTATACTAGGTGGCGCTACAAATCCGTGCGGATACAGTGTGTTTAGTATTAAAATTTATTTATTGATTATTTGCAGCCAAATTAGTAAATTAGTGTGATTTAATGCAGCCTGCAGCCACATGCTAGAAACTGACAAAGACGAAGAACAGCATTCTTTTTGTCACTAATTTTTTAATATTAATTTATTAGCAATTTAATTGCAAATTGGTTGTTTCATAATTGCGAGATCTACAATTTTTTTTTTTTTTTTTTTGAATTCTTGACAATGTAGAGAAACTACACATAGGTAGTCTTAAAGTACCATTTTAAAAAACAAACTTGTTAAAAATTGACGCAAACCTTTAATTACAGTAAATGTAGCATAAAAATATTTAAAAGCAAACTTTTTAATACATTTTAAAAGTGTTCGCTTTTCGTTCCATACCATTTTTCACTTGCAATAATAAAATTGTATATTAATTATAACAATAAATTTATTAACTCAAAAGACACTTATTTTTTGTAAGAATTGCATAAAATTTCGTAAGCTTAGCTCACATATAATGAAAATACGGAAAATCGTGTAATAAAAACTTTTGTTACACGATTTTTTTCCTAAAACATCAAACATATTCAATAAAATAAAAGTTTTAGGAGCAATTTTTCATTAACAACAAGCACGTTAAAAATAGACAACAACAAAAATCCATTAAACTTGAAGAAAACATACGTTTTTAAAGTAGTTCTTTCCAGTGCCGTAACTTCACCCTTCGGGGCCCTGGGGCTCAAATTTTTGCCGGGGCCTTTTCTAAAACTCTTTGTACTCCATCTCTAATCGTCATTTTAGCTATTTATGTATCATGTTGATTAATATATTTATGAAAATAAGCCACTTGTTCACATAGATATGGGATTACAAAATATTGTAGGTTGTAAAATTAACACTAGAATGTAAAATGTTATATTTAAAAAAATTAATTTTTAATTACAAAAGACAAATAAGACATCTAAAAATAATTACAAAACACATACTAAATACAGATTTTAAATGTATTTAATGGTTCTAATTTGGTAGATAGATTTATACACTTAAGTTTGCTGAGAATGATTATAATACATCAGTTTGCATTAAAATAAATGTCTAGAAAAAAGATTTAATATTTAAAATTTTAGATTAGTTTCAGTTTTTGAAAAATATTTAAAGTAAATTGTGAAATAGATTTCATAGTAATAAAATTTTTTAAAAAAGGGGAAATGAAAAAAAAATTTATAAAATAAAAAAAAGTCATAAAATTTATATTTATAATTATTAGTACAAAATATAAATCCATCCATAATTTGAAACACAGTCCACTAAATTTGCTAATCTATTATTAATTAATAAAAATTAAATAATAAATTATAGCAATTTTAAAATTACTGAACATAAATCTTTCTAAAGATTTCTAAAATCTGAAATAAAAAATTTCAAAACTTAAAATTTATTTCTCCTGGCCTTTGTTGCCGCAAATTCATCAATTATATCGCTGAAATCAATATTTCGTGTTTTTTCGTTTTCAATAGACAGTAGAGCAAATCCATTCAATCGATCCTGTCCCATCGAACTTCTCAATAAATAACTTTTATAAGTTTCAATTTCAATTTTGAGGAAGTATAACAACAAGTATAATCTCTACACACTGTCACGAAGTGCATAATACATCCTTAATCCATTATAGTGATTTTTGTTAGTAACTGACAATTTTTAATGTTTTTTCTTTTCTTATTTCAAATTTTATTGTAGTAATCTAAATGTAAATACTCGAAGTCATTAACTTCTCTGTTAATTTCTTAATTCAATGAGATTTTCATACAAATATTTCTTTCAATTTTAGTTCAAATGGGCGAACAATTAATTATCTCATACACATTTTATAGCTAAGCAATTGCATTTAAAAGAGATGTTTAACAACTACTTATATTTTAGACTTTCCTTTCCTCCTAAACCAGTCGTTTATCATCATATAGGTCGGTCATTTTAGATATAAAATAAAGTTTCAGAACTTCCAAGTGTAAAAGTCATTTTTTTTCAAGTGTTACATTAGAATACTAGGAATAAGCGTAACAAGAAATTTTTATGATATAGTATAGTATAGTTACGTTAGAATTTTCTTTCAAATGTTAAAGGGTAGGATATATTAATTTTAAGACATTATTGATGTTTGTGGTCACTCTAATCGATAGCTCAAAATGTCTTTTTCGTAAATAACAACACTGGTTTGGACTGTAGGACACTTTATTTTAAATACTCACGGACTACGTCCGCCATTTATGAAGTTCTCAAGGTATATAAAAAAAGTCTCTCACAAAGGGGTGGCGCGGCAGTCGCACATGCGCGAACATGCAATGTTTCAACATTCAATTAATATGTAATTTAACAAAGCACAATTTGCATTATTTAAAAAATCTTTACAAAGCATTTAGATGATAATTAGTAACACTGATACAAATAAGAAAAAACAAATTAATGATACTTTACACTGCAACCGATCTTATCATACAACAAATATTCAATTCAAAATAAAATTAAACATGAGAATATTTTTATGATACAGGTAACAAGCATATTTGAGAAATAGAGCTCTTAAGGGTCCCGTGCTGGGTTTTCACTTCTACAACTCTGATTTTCTTATCAGTGCCGTAAACCACTTTAATTATTCTCCCCATTAACCATTTATTAGCTGGTAAATTATCCTCAATAATTAAGACTAGACTACCGATTTTGACATTGTCCTTTTCGAATCTCCATTTGCCACGTTGCTGCAGTTCACTAAGGTAGCTTCATTGCCACTTTCTCCAAATTAATTGTACTAATTTGGTTATTCTTTGCCACCTGGATAACCTATTTTCCTTTAAATTTGTCAAATCCGGTTCAATTATGGCGTTCATTGTTCTCCCTATCAGGAAATGCGCAGGAGTTAAAACTTCTAAGTCGGTTTCATCCGCGGATAGTGGAGTTATCGGTCTACTATTAAAAATGCTTTCAATTTGAGTGCTATAGTATGCAATTCTTCGTAAGTTAAAGAGGCATTACCTACAGCTCTTTTAAAATGGTATTTAAACGACTTAATTGCTGCCTCCCAGAGACCACCAAAGTTGGGGGCTCTAGGCGGGATAAAGCTCCACTCTATTCCTTCAGCGGATAGATAGTTAGCCAAATTTTCATCAGGATTTTTGAATAAATTTAAACATTTTTTTAACTCCTTGTTAGCGCCAACGAAATTCGTCGCGTTGTCTGAAAACAGTTTGGCACATTTGCCTCTACGCGCGATGAATCTCTTCAACGTGGCATTTAGACTCGGATGTCAAATCAGAAACTATCTCTATATGCACTGCTTTAGATACAAAACATATGAATAAGCAAATATACATCTTTAGAGAAATTGCTTTTCTTTGATGTTTACATTTAATGGAAAACGGACCAGTTAGGTCAACACCAGAGCAATTGAATGCGAAATCTGGCACAACTTTTTCTCTAGGTAGATTCCCCATTATTTGCGTAGCAGCAATGGGTTTATTTTTAACACAAACAACACAATTATGAGTAATTCTTCTACATAGAGAACGGCCACATAAGGGCCAAAATTTTTCTCTTACACAGTTTAATAAACCATTTGGACCAATATGCAAATATTTAAGATGATATGTCGAAATAATAACAGAAGTTAAAGGACTATTTTTAGGGAGTATTGCAGGATGTTTTTTAAGAAAATTCAATTCAGTGTTACCTAATCGTCCTCCAACTCTTAAAACTCCATTTGAATCTAAAAGAGGGTTCAAATTTCTTATCTTACTCGTAGGAGACACCTTCTCGTGCAGTTTGAGACTCCGAATTTCTGATCCAAATTCCTCGTTCTGTATTACTCTCAACAGGAACTGCTCGGAGGCGTTGATCTCCTCATTGCTCAGAGGTCCTGAAGCTCCTTCAGTAGGATTTCTGCAATTCTTGGAAAACCTAAAAATATAACTTAATACACGCACTATAGTAAAATAATTATTACTCAAGCCAATTAGTTCATGCAAAAAATTGTTGGACGTTAATGTAAAGGCTTTTAAGGGACCTTCAATGTCTAAGCTTGAAAGCTTTTTAAGTTCACTTTGGAAGACACTCAGTTCTTGCGACACAGGAAAGTTTTGGTTAGGATACTCGTTGTCATAAAGGAAATTAGGGCCTTTCCACCATAATTTTGTCTCTAAAAGTTTCACAGGGTCCAATCCTCGGGATATCAAGTCCGCGGGATTCATCTCGGATGGCACATGATTCCATTGGGACTTAAGCGTCAGTTCTTGTATGAGTGCAATTCTATTTTTCACGAATGTCTTAAGACTCGTTGGCTCCTTTTGAATCCATGCTAGTACAATCATGGAATCAGACCAAAGGTAAACTTTGTCTGTTTGCAATTTTAATGCGGAAAGTATCTTTTTCATTAACTTGGACAACAAGACTGCAGCACAAAGTTCCAGTCTGGGGATACTTAGGGCTTTAAGTGGGGCAACTCTAGATTTGCTAGCAACTAATTTCACATTTATGTCACCTGCAGAGTTGAAAGACTTGCAATAAACAACCGCTCCATAGCAACTCTCCGATGCATCAGCAAATCCATGAAATTCGATTGTTTTAGACTGTTCTATTGTAATGCACCTATCAACTTTAATGTTGTTCACACCTTTCAACGTGGAAATAAATTCGCTCCACTCCTGAAATTCTGCAGCAGGAAGTGGATCACCCCAGTCAATGTTCGATTTCCACAATTTCTGCATAAATATTTTGGCCTTAGCTATGACAGGGCCGGCTATCCCTAGGGGTTCAAAAAGTTTTGCAATGGTGGACAGAACTGACCGCTTGGTAAAGGTGTTGTTCTCATCCACTGATATTTTGAAGGTATAGCAGTCCTCTGATGGTCGCCAAATGACTCCTAAAGTTTTTGTTTCATCGGCGCTCGAAAAGTCATAATCGTTTTTACTTGGCGAAAGCTCCGGATGGCTAGCAGACCATTTATGTAGACTCAAACCGGCTTTATCGAGAATTGAAATCAGTTGCCGCCGTGTCTCCTTCGCTTCATCCAGAGAGGGTGCTGAATACAACACATCATCCATATAGAAGTTGTCACGTAGAAGAGGAGCTGCCAAAGGAAAATTTATCCCCTCGTCAAGAGATAGCTGATTCAAACACCTTGTTGCTAAAAAACTAGCACTCACTGTGTCGTACGTGATAGTTCTCAATTCATAAGCTTTTGTTGGGCCATTCGCATGATCCTTCCAAAGGATTCTTTGAAGACAATGCTGCTTAGGGTTCACCAAAATCATTCTGTACATCATCTTTATATCCGCTTGAAACGCGTATGTGTGCCTTCGAAAGCTAGTCATTATGCTAAATAAGTCTTCCTGTATCACCCCACCATTATACTGGATAGCGTTAAATGAGGTAGCATTATGCGTCAAGCTAGAAGCGTTGAATACTACGCGAAGCTTCGTAGTACTCTTCTCGGGACGATACACGCCATGGTGTGGCATATAATAGGAACTTTCCGGTTCTCCTTCATCTTTAACTTCACTCATGTGACCAAGCCTCTCGTATTCATCAAGAAAGTTTTTGTAAAGTCTCAAATGTTCTTGGTCCTTTGATAACCGATGCCACAGAGAATTCAGCCGTTTAAGAGCAATATCCCTTGACTCGCCTAAACACGAGGGTTCTTCCTTAAGGGGTATAGTTACTACGTATCTACCTTCTTTATTACGGAAATGTGTTTGCTCAAAATGTTCCTCGCAAGAGGTCGTTTCTTTACTTTTCGTTAACCCTACGTCTAAATTTTCAACTTCCCAAAAACTCTTTAATGTCTTGTTTAAATCATCCTCTAAAATTAATCCGCAATGCATGTTGGTTGTACGCGAATCAATTAAACTACCACTCGCTATGTATCCGAAAACGGTATTTTATAGAATTAATTTTGATTCATGTAAACATATTTGTCCCGACCGTAATAATTCATAGAATATCTCCGCGCCTAACAATACGTCAATTTTATCAGGAATGAAAAAGGTTTCGTCAGCTAATCTAACATTAACAGGAACCTTAACTGCTGCATTAAGAAATTTCGACGGCGTAAAATCAATTATTTTTTCAACTACTAAAAAGGTTAATTCCTTTTCAAAACTCTTATCTTTATTTGAAATCGAAGTCCTAACACACCTATTTATATTCATCGTTGAATCATTCAAACAAGAAATTTGTGTGTTCATTTTTTCGTAAGGCAAATTAAGATTTTGTAAACAATTGCGATTAATCAAACATGATTGGGAGCCTGAATCTAGCAAGCACCTAACTTCCTGCCATAAGGAATTTTCATCCTTAATAAAACACTCAGCCGTACTCAAAAGAACAGTTTTTGTGTTCAATTTATTTTTTTCATAACTGGTGGCGACTACAGACATATTTCCATTGGCCCCGTCTTGGGAGGGAGAGGGAGGGGGGATGGAATATTCAAAACTCAACTGTGATTCTTGGTTAACAATAGCGGGTGATTTATTATTTCTGTTTACTCTTGGAAAGTAGATCATTTTATTATGAGGTTTACCGCAAAAGAAATCCTTAAATTTACACGTTTGAAAGGAACATTTGGCGGATAAGCATTTAAAACATAATTTATTACTCTTGACTACTTCTAATTTTTCATTAATGGACATATTTTAAAATTTCGAACACATATACAAGGCATGCTCATTAGATTTACAAATGACACATTTAGGATAATTTATTTCGGATAAAAACACATTAGAAATATTTTTATTAGAACGGAAGTCTCGATTCCTTTGGGAATGATAATTTATATCTTGTTTTGATTTAACCTTGGAAGAAAGATAAATACCGCACTCTCTTCCTAGCTCTTGTGGTTTGAAAAATGATTCTCCCTGCCTTACTGCAATATGAGTCATTAATTCTCGGTCAAGTAGACCAAACATCTTATCCGAAATAATTAACTCACATAATGTTTTAAAATCGCTAACCTTGCTTAATTGGCAATAGTATTCGAATGCTGCACTCAATCGTGAAGCAAACTGAAGATAACTTTCATGAGGCATTTTTTGCATTTTATTAAAATTGTTAATACAGTAGAGAACCGATTATCCGGAACGATCGGGACTATCGCTATTCCGGATAACTGATTTTTCCGGTTTTCTGAATCGCTACAAAAAGCCGTTTTTTTTAGTGTTAAACCCAACTAAAAAAAAATATTTGGAAATACTCTTAAAAATAAGAAAAAACGATGAGGTAATACACTAATGATTATTTCTGAAATGATGGTAAGGTAAACATCTTTCAAAAAAGAAAGAAAAATCCTAAAATCTTATGAGGAAAAAAAAATTTTTTTTTTAATTGCGAGAAAATTCACCGAATTTCGTTCCGGTTTTTTGGTTTTCCGGTTTTCTGAATTCCGGATAACGGGTTCTGTACTGTACATTCTCGAGGTGTTGGTTGAAATTCCTTCAACACGATTTCTTTAAGTTTATCGTAATCTGCTAATTCTTGTTCACTTATATAAATCATTAAATTTTTCGCTTTTTCATCTAACAAATTTAGCAGCATTTCGGATTTTAATTCTTCGGGCACATTCTTCGAGACGGTGCAGCGGCTCTAGCTCGCTAATAGTTTCCGATTTCGAAGAATTGTGCGATTCTTTTCGCGCATTAGATAATTCAATTTCTTTCTATAACTGAGCGAGTTTAATTTTTTCTAACTCTAGTTTTGTTTGGTTCTCTTTCTCTAACTGAGCTAATTTAGTTCTTTCTAACTCATAATTGTTTTTCTTTTCCTCAAGAATATTATCAATCAAACTCTGAACGAAATCACTATCGTTTTTATAAATCTCACTATTTCCAATTAGCTTCTTTATATCAATAACTCTTGCCCCTTCTTCAACTTTTAAACTTAACTCGTCTGCGACGACTTTTAATTCGTCTTTTTTTAGTTTATTAAGGGACATTTTTTAAACACACTTAAAATAACTCAATGTAAATAGACAAGCTGAATAACTCAAAGTAAATTTTGCACAATGAATGAAACAAGTGAAATTGCTCTTACCTCAGAATTTCGGCTTATTTTTTATTGGACTGTAGGACACTTTATTTTAAATACTCACGGACTACGTCCGCCATTTATGAAGTTCTCAAGGTATATAAAAAAGGTCTCTCACAAAGGGGTGGCGCGGCAGTCGCACATGCGCGAACAATTGAAATGAGGAAAATAAAGAAGAAACAAAATATCTCGATTTGACTAAGATTTCTTACATTTTGAGAAACGAACAAACAAACAGTGCTTTTAGAAAAAGATTCTAAGTTTGAATTTTAACGTTTTGTCTGCATATTAAGACATTTTTACGTATTTTCGCTTTTTACATATTCTTGTCATCTAATTTATTGTAACCAAGATTTTAAAAATACGATCACTAGGAAATAAAATTTTCATAATTTATTTTTGGTTATTTCAATAACGTATCATGACTTTCTATCATCTTTAATTAATAAGTTAAAATATTTCTTCATTACATAATTTAAGTTCACATGCATTCCTTCATACATAACAAGCTAGTTAGTTTTAAATGGCTTTTAAATCACTTTTCCTTTTGACGATTATTTATTGATATATGTATGCAAAATTGCTTGATAACATTTGTTTTATCGAATTAAAAAATAAACTTTTGTGATGCAATGCAAATTAATTTACATTTAAAATGTTTCAAGAAAAGCTTGTAGATATTTCTAGAATTAAGCAGTAGATCACGTAAGGAAAAATTCGATCAAAGTTTTAATACATAATTAAATTAGATGTTATTCAAGCTGATAGGATAAATAGTTTTGAAGTTATTATGGTCTTCTTCATAATGAGTGCATTTCAAAGACAGTACTTTTTGTACACACACATGAAAAAAAAGAAACATTTCAACTTTTCAAATATAAGCACTGTTGTTTCGTATTTTGTCTTATTTGGTTCAGTGATTTAAAATACAGACGAAATACTACCTCATTTGTCTGTATAGCATAGCAATGTAAGATAAATAAGTTCTAGTACAAAATGGTATTTGTTGTACAGGGTCCTAAAAATATAGTAATATTTTGAGAAGAATTCATTCATGAATATTTTGCCTATCGAAACTTCTGAACAGACAAAATAACAAATAAATATATGTATTTATGATGTCATGTTATTATATATGATAAAAAATTATGACAAGAAACTAATATTTAATATTCCAAAAAGGTTTTTTCTTATTTTTCCAAATCGAAAAATAAGAAGAAAACCTTTTTAATGGTTTGTCATGGCAATGATTTTTATCTGATTTGGATTTCTATATTGAAAAATACAATAGCTTTGAACAAAATATTTTAATGAATATCTTAAATACATGGTTGCAGAGAAAATCATATTCACAATGGAAATAAAAATAATAAGTCACAAAACTAGAAAGAAAAAAAAGTAGAAAC